TGGAGGCTCTCTACGTCCTCATGGTGCTCGGCTTCTTCGGCTTCTTCACGCTGGGCATCATGCTGAGCTACATCCGCTCCAAGAAGCTGGAGCACTCCCACGACCCCTTCAACGTGTACATCGAGTCCGACGCGTGGCAGGAGCAGGACAAGGCGCTCCTGCAGGCGCGCGTGCTGGAGAGCTTCCGGGCCTGCTCCGTCATCCAGAACCCGCTGGCCGTGGAGCGGCCCCACGCGCACCTGCCCGGGGCGAGGCCTTCGTCATGACCGGGCGGGGGGACTGGACAGGGACCCCGGACAGTCCGATTCCTCTAACCCCGGACAGTGCCATTTCTCTCTTGTACTCTGTATGGTATGGACACTTTTTTTTTTTTTGCTGTTATGAGGCTAAGGGGTGGGTTAGTAGCACTATTTCTCTAAAATCACATTTGTTCTCTCAGAGACTGTCAGCTGTCCCCCAGGATCTGGCCTCTGGGGGTAAGAGCTGCATTTCCCAGACTCCCTTGCAGCTAGCAAGGTCCTGTGATGACGTTCTGGCCGGTAGAAGTGGGACTGAGGAGGGCAATTTCTGAGCGATTCTTGAAAAGGGAAGGCCGTGTCCTCCCTCCACTCCCCTTCCCCACCTCCCAGGGGCTGGGCCGGGGGAGAGGTGAGGCAGCTCAGCTCCGGGACCGGAGGGCGTGTTCACAGATGCAGAGTCTCTGGGCAGTGCCGCGGGCAGGTTCTCCCATCCTTTCTGGACACCCGCCCGCGCAGACTTCACGGGAAAAGGAAACCAGCTCCCATCTTCCTTAAGATTCTTTTGGTTTATGTTAAAGCAGCAGAACCAATCTTCTAACTAACATGGACTAAGATGCAGGAGAAAACGAACCCCACTTCAGAACGCATACCAGGAGGAAGGCGCTGGGTGGTCATGGCAGGAGGGAGGGTGCCCCCCCACCCCCGCGGGCCCAGGGGCGGAGAGGGTGTGGGCCAGTGGCACCGCCTGGGGCCGAGGTGGCAGGGCCTTGCGAGGTGTGCGCCCACGGTGGCTGACTCGTGTCCTCCCGAGAGATTCGTTCACGCCCCCGGTGCCTGCAGGGTTGGTTATTGGGAAACAGATCTTTGCCGACGGCATCAAGGAAGATGAGGCCATTGGTGACTGATGTCCTCGAAGAAGAGGGAGGTCTGGACCCGGACACACAGGAGAGCCCCGTGTGCCCACGGAGCAGAGACTGGAGTGACGCAGCCACAGCCACAGCCACAGCCACGGTCGCCTGGGTGACGCCACCACCGAAGCTGGAGGAGGCGAGGAGGAGGCCCCTGCAGGTCACGGGGAAGCGTGGCCCAGGAGCCCTTGACTCCGACCTCTGGCCCCCGGAACTGGGAGGCCACGGGTTTCTGTGGTTTCAGGCCGCACGGTGTGGCTTCTCTGTTACGGCAGCCACGGGAAACGCAGGAATCACAGAGTGCCCTCTCCCCCACCCCCTCCCCGACAGCTGCTTTCCTCCCGCCTCCTTCCCCTCGCAGACGAGAGGTGGGAAGGGGCTGAGTGGGTGCAGGGAACATACCTCCTTCTCTTCCGCAGTAGAAGGAAGCCTCCTTAGCCCGACCTAAGAGTCCAGAGCCACGTGCCGTGGGTTTCAGCCTCCTGCTCCAGCAGCACCGCAGCGTGTACATGGACAGCCGTGGCCACGGGCAGCATTAGCTACGGGCAGTGATGGCCACGGGCAGCATTAGCCACGGGCAGCTTTAGCCATAGGAAGCCTTGGCCACGGGCAGCGCTAGCACTCTGGGACCCCTTGCATGCTCAACCTGCTTGGGCATTCCTAAATCCTATATAATAAAGAGCTAATACTCAAATGGTTGTCGCGCCCTCATGCCCTCCCGCCCTCACGCCGAGGCCGGGGGACCTGAGGCTGCACCCCCCGCCCTGTGGGGCTTGATTGGGTGGGTGGGGGGGCGGCCGGGGTCTGAGTCTCACACGATTTCAAGGCACACGCAGGTGGGTGGGGACTTGACTCTGGGTCCCGCAGTGCGCCCCAGACTCTGACAGGAGGGAGATTCTCATATACATTTTACTAATTTTCTTTCGTCTCTGACACTTCTATTATAGATAAAGCAATAGCAATATTAAAATATTTTCTCTAATTCCCTTTTAATGTGAATGAATTTCATGCACCCAGCCACTAGTACTTAATAAAACAATTGTTCACAACCCACACAGACTATAAAAGTAACACACAGCATTGTGGGCCATCCTCAAACGGACAGCTCCGTCCCCGGCTGCGTCCTGCTTCCTGGGACAGACAGCCAGACCTCAGGGACGCTGGCAGGGTCCCAGCGTGGATGCCTACAGTCCTCGAGCGGGTGCTTCTTGGGGTCATAGAGTTCTTTGAAAATCTAATGAAAGCTAATGATCCCTACCCCCTCCCCACCCCACCCCCGCACCACATCTGGGGGGTTCATGGGCCCAAAAGCCCATTTGCCTGCTGGCTCCCCTGTGGTCCCGGCTGCAGACAGACACACCCCGCCCACATCGAAGGAAAGGCAGGTGGGAGCTCAGGTGTGGGGGGACCCAGGGTGTACGTGGCCCCTGTGAGCCACGGGGTCACACTGACCTTGGTGCTCCAGGCGTGGGCCTGGCTCCTTATCACCAGTCACTCCCCTGGTGACTTTTCCCGGAGGCAGAGGCCGTGAGCTGCAGTCCGCCCGTCCCGGGGGAGCCAGCCGCTCACTCACCCCCC